CCCCCCCCCCCCCCGTGAACTTTTTCTGAACCCACAGCCCAGTCGACTCTTCCCGACCCCCACTCCCACCCCCACGCGTGGGTTAGGGACCCTCCTCTGCATTTCCAGTCTGCTGCCTGCTCCCATCAAAATTGCTCTTAGCTAGCTAGCATCCTGTGTTTTAACGTGTGGTTACAGATAAGCCTCCACCATCTGACTTTTAGCTCCTTGAAGGCAGAAATGTTAAGGCCCTTGTAGCCATAAAGCCCACCCCAACCCAGCACATATTGATTAAATTTTTTCTAAAAAGTTTAAAATGTATAGAGTATTGACTTTACATTTAGTTAAAAAGTATATAGCACTTATCATGTGCCAAGCATTATTCTAAGTGCTTTACAAATACTACCTCATTTAATCTTTACTCCATCCATTCTCAAAGTGTGGCCTGGAGATCCCTAATACTCAAAGGGTCTCTGTGAGGTAGTCCCTTTAGGAGCTACTTATCAGAGTGAGGCTGGATGTTTTCATATACCTAACGCAAAGCAGCATATCACAACAGATTGGATGCAGAAGGAGATTTGAGGATCCAGCTCTCTTCTACTGAGATAGACTTGAAAGAGACTTGCAAAAACAAAACAATGCAACTGTTCTCGGTATTGTTTGTTTTGAAGCACAGAGTTAATTTTATTGAAAGATATTGATGTTAGGGTTGGCTGGTTAGCTCAGTTGGTTAGAGTGTTGTGCTGATGACACTAAGGTTTGGGGTTCAATCCCTGCACCAGTCAGCCTCCAAAAAAACAAACAAAAAACCCCCCTTATGTTAATATGTAATGTGTCTACTGTTTTTATATTAATATTTTTAAAAAGCATAAGTTTAAACTTCTAATTACAGTAAATATCAATAGATATAAGCCACTTAACAAAAGCTCTTTTAGGGTCTTAATCGTTTTTAAGAGTGTAAAGGATCCATTTCACAAGGGATAGCAAAAAAAAAAAAAAAAAAGAAAAGAAAAGAATCTGATTCCAGCTGCTTTAGACAAAAAAGACCCCATTTTTAAAAAGAGTATAAAGGGATCCTGAGAACAAAAAGTTTGAGAACTGCTGCCTTACAACATCCTAAGATGGAAGTATTATTATTCCTATTTTATTAATGAGGAAACTGAGGTACAGAGAGGTTAAATAACTCACACAAGGCCAGGCAGCTGGTAAAAGTGAATCCCGGGTCAGACCCGCACAGTCTGGCTTCAGGTCTGTGCCATAACCACCTCATCCATGTTCTAGAAATGTGCTAAGCACTTTACATCCATTTAATCCTCACAGCAACCCCTCCTAGTATCCCCCTCCTAAGTCGAGGACAATGAAGCATGGGAAGTATAAGTTTCCTATGGCTACTGGAATATGTTGCCACAGAATCTCCTCCAGGAGATTAAAACAACAGAAACACGTTCTCTCATGGTTCTGGAGCCCAAAGGTCAGAAATCAAAGTGTCAGCACAGACTCCTTCCTTTCAAAGGCTCTAGAGGAGGATCCTTCCTGCCTCTTCCAGTCAAGTGGCTCCAGGCATTCTGTCCCTTGTCGACAAATCACTCCAATCTCTGCCTCTGATTTCACACAGCCCTTCCTCTATGTGTGTCTGTCTTCTCCTCTGTGTCTCTTATGAGGACTTGTGTCATTAGATTCAAGGCTCACCCATACAATCCAAGACGATCTCCTCATCTCAACATCCTTAATTTAATCACACCCGCAAAGACCCTTTCCTTTTTCCTTTTTCTTTTTTAAAATAAGGTCGCATTCACAGGTTCCAGGGATTATGACAAGGTTATACCTTTTTGGGGGGGTGGGAAGGGGTTCACCATCCAATCTACTATAGAAGGTTAAGTAGTCCACAGCTGGGAGGGATAAAGCTGGGAGTTGAACCCAGTGGGTGCCTGTGGTGAATGAAAGAATAAATAGTAAATGTCCAAATTGGGGCTGTTTTGCCCTCCAGGCAGCAAAGACGTACTGAGAGTCTGCAGGAAAGCGAGATAATGTTCAAGGAGCAACAGTGACAGCCTGTAGCCTGTGCCTCTGGACGGGGCAGGAAAGGAATGGGAAGGTGGATGAGATGGAAATTAAGGAGGGAAAGGGGAGGCAAGAGTCCAAGGTGACCCCCGAATGGTGATCTGAGTGCTTAGGAGAATGGTTATAATCTTAAGAATAGGAGGGAGAGGCAGTCGAGCCTAGTGGTTAAGCTCCCAGAGCCACCTCTGCGTTCTAACTGGGCACAGTCACTGACCAGGTATGTGATCTTGGGCAAGTCATGTGACCTCTCAGAGCCTCAGTATCCCCATCTGTAAAATAGGATAACAGTACCTAGTTCAGAGGAAAATTGAGATTATTAAATCAGTTAACATATGTGCCAGCCACACAATGTGCTATAAAAGTTATTATTATTATTATTGAAATCTGCAGGAGATACCCTGTCCGAGCAGACGTGTAAATGTCCCTAAAATAGGATAACAGTACCTAGTTCAGAGGAAAATTGAGATTATTAAATCAGTTAACATATATGCCAGCCACACAATGTGCTATAAAAGTTATTATTATTATTATTGAAATCTGCAGGAGATACCCTGTCCGAGCAGACGTGTAAATGTCCCGTTGACAACCAGAAATGTTGACCTGGCGCTCAGGACTAAGGAAGTAGATGCAGTAAGACCCACACTGACATTCATTCATTCAATAAATATTTAGCTCTTAATACATGCCAGGTAGTATGCTAAATCTGTGGGATATGGCCATATACCAGAGAGATAGGATTATAGCTCTCATGGGAAACAGACAGTAAACAGGTAAAACCAAAAATAAACTATGCAATTTCTTTTTTTTTTTTTTTTGAGGCTGGCTGGTATAGGGATCCGAATGCTTGACCTTGGTGTTATGAGGTGGCACTCTAAACAACTGAGCTGACCGACTAAATAAGTTCTGGTAGAGAAAGAGAAGGTTGAGAAGGGGGAAGAGAATGAAGAAATTAGCATGTCATGGAAACCAGGTGTACCAGCCAGCATTTTTCAATTGCAAGAGTCCCAGACACTGTATTTTTTCATGTATGGATATTTTAATATATATTTCTCAAACATATTGAAACTATATATCCACAATGCTACAATTATACTTGAAAAAATTAACAATAATTTCTATCAAATATTCAGTGTGTTCAAAATGTCAGTTATAAAAAACAAAACTAAACAAAACAAAATAAATCCCAAAATGTCAGTTACATCATCAGTTTATTTTTTATAGTTCATTTAGCTCAAGATCCAATCAATACCTACATAGTACAATTTGTTGATATGTCCCTTACTCTCTTTTAATCCTCCATCTCTTTTTCTTCCTAGGCTTAAAGTTTATATTGATGAAACAAAGTTGTTTGTCTTGCAGAGATTCTC